AGAGAGAGAGAGAGAGAGAGAGAGAGAGAGAGAGAGAGAGAGAGAGACAGAGGGAGGAACAGGCCAGACAGGGAAAGAGACAGGAGGAGGGAGGGAGGAAAAGAGAGGTTTGCAGATAGGAGAAAGATTGTTACAGTTTTCTTGCCGCCTGCTGGGAATGAGTTGGTTAAGGGGGAAGTCAGGATGATTTATTGGAAGAAAAAAGGAGGGAAATAGGGAGAAGGAGAGCAAGAAAGAGAGTGAGATGAGATGCCATCAGGGAATCCCTCTGTCTTCTCCAGTCCGTCCATCTCTCTCATGAGCTGTCCATTTAATCCCCCCTCTGTCTGTCTCTCTCTTCTTCCTCTTCTCCTCACTTTATTCCTCCATTTCCACTGTAAACTTTCTCCACTCTGATCTCTGCTACCTGGCTCTTCTTCTTTTTTTGCCTGTCTTTTGTTAGCTCTGTCTCTGGTGGTTGACCCGACTCCTCTGGCTCTCTCTCCATCTCTCTCCGTTACAGCAGGCATGCAACTTTTTAATGAGCACTCCTCCTTTGCCTCCTCTCCTCGCTCCTCTGTCCATCACTTCTCCTTAGTCTCTCTGTGTTGTTGTTACACTGCATTGTGTAGTACAACAGCAGCACAGTTAAACACACTTGGTACAATTAAAATATATAATTAAATATATATGCCCAGAAACATTTGCACATATAAACATAGATACATATGTTATGATTAGGCCAGTGGTAGGCTATACATGCATATAGTTTTGAGCCATTAAAAGAGGAATTAAAAGGGTAGAGGAATAATTTGAATTTTTGGTGACTCTTGTTGGTTTTCTTGCTGAGAGTTATCTAGAAAGACTGATACTCTCATGTCTGTCCACTAATTAAGAAGCTACAGCCAGCAGCAGGTTAGTATAGCTTAGCATAAATAATCGAAACAGCTAGCCTGGCTTTTTGCTGTCAAATTATTCCTTTAAGAGAAACATCGCTTTCCAGAATCAGAGTCTTTATGAGCTTTCCTGACCTTTGATAAAATGTTCTAAACTCAAGATTCACTTACTAGCTTTTACGAAGGCCTTTGATCAAACCGCATTGTCTTCTTTGGCGAATGGATCTTCATTTGACCTTCTGTGATGTGAAAACTAGACCACTACCTGTAGACCATTTGTTATCATGCAACCAAAGTCCTGTACTTAGATCACATGAATCCAAGTTCCATCAACTGAAGAAGGCCCTGGAATACGGTCAAAAGCTCCAGAATAAGTTTGAAAGTGCCACTATTTAATCACATAAAACATTTACAGGGGGTTGTCCGCGGATTATCCAGAACAACAAGGATACTGTTTCTGGAAAGATGTTGCTTTTGATATTTAAAAATGTCTTTTAATTCATTGATAATTTTTCTCATTATTCCTTTGAGATTTACAGACAAAATCACATTCACTTCCACGTATTCACCATGTTGCATTGGGAAGGCAGCAGAAATCTCAGAGACAGAATAAAACCCAAGCTATCTGCATGGCTATATGACCTTATAATAAGTAAGGAAATGTGTTTTTGCCATTTAGGAGAAGTGACCCTTCAAATGCCAGCCTATAGAGCATGGATGATTGACTGCATGGTGCCTACACCCGATACATTTGAAAGGAAACTGTAAATCAGGAGCAAGAAGACAAAGTTGGAAATCGAACACCAACGGAAGCAAGAGATTTGGTGCTTTTTTTGAAAAACAAAAACTCCACGTGTCGCCTCTCCGTTGGGTTTCTTTGAAACAGACGTTTGCATGTTCTGTTTCAGCAAACGCCCCTGTCAATTCCAATCACCCAGGTTGGATTCTCCAGGCTGGGTTGCAGTGCTATTGGATTACTTTTGTATTGGGGTTATTATGAGAAACGACCTCGGGGATGACTGCATGCGGTGACACCGAAGCTCTTATGACATTTCCAACCCAGAGCCGGCCAACAACACATCTGTCAAGTGATCCTTTCTGCAACCTCGAAATCTAATCGGAGTTTTCTCATAGCTCTGACAATTGGATATTAGGCCCCTATAGGACTCGCATCCCTCTCTGGGGCCCCAGCAAGTAAACAATGCTCATATGAATTGAGCAGGACCCTTGCATGTATACGAACATCATGTAAATATACAGTAAAGAATTTATATTTCTTTGTACACTTGTATGTGTGCTGCATTTCAATGGCATTCTTGAACTGTGAGTCTCTTTCTCACTCCTCCCGCTCGCTCCGTGCCTTGGCCTGCTTCGCTGTTCACTGTTGTGTTAGTAAATTGTACTGACACTCCCCCCGCCTCCTCTCGCTCCCTCACCACCTCTGCTGCTCTCCCTCCCTCCCTGTCCCTCTCTCACCCGACTGACTGACACGAATTTTCAATCTCTCTGTTTACCTTTCGCTGCTGTGCCTAAAACAACACTGGTACAGGCTAAGAGCAGGGAGGAGACTGGGGGGGGGGGGGTGGAGATGGAGCTGAGTAGAGCGTTGGAGGAGGAAAAAGAGGGAGGAGGATGAGGAGGAGAGGTGCCACTAAGATTGGGTGGGAGAAGGAGAACGGCGAGGGGGGAGGGAGGCGGGGATGCAAGAATCGAAAGAGGTGCAAAAAGAGAGAACAGGGCTTTCTCTGTGTTTTGGTTGGAGAGGAATCCAAGGGGGAAAGAGACTAGAGGAGTGAGGAAGGAGAAGAAGAGCCGATACTTTTGAACAGTCACGCAAACTGAGCCAGAAGAGGGAGGGAGGAGAGGAGAGGGGAGAGGGGAGGGGGGGGGAGGAAAAGGAAATGAAAGGGTGGAAAAGAGAATGTAAGTCAGAGTTGTGAGAAAGAGTTAGACGGGGCACAGAACATTAGGAGTGCAATGAGATATAGAGAGTGAGGGGGAGAGAGAGATTTATAGAGGTGCAGAAGGAGACAGAGGACAGCAAGAGTGATGCGTAGAGAGAGGTTTTTTTTAAGAGGATGGGAGGGATGGCGGCAGAGAGGGAGGAGAGGGCATGTATTGAGAGAGAAAGAGAGAGAGAGAGAGAGAGAGCTCAGAATAGATACGCTCTCAACAGCATGAAATATTGAACGAAGGAGGCCGAACACAAGGAGGGGCGAGGAAAAATGGAGGGACTGATAAAGACAAATACAATCGTTTTGTGTGTGTGTGTGTGTGTGTGTGTGCGCGTGTGTGTGTTGTTTAGGAGACAGATGAAGATGAGAGAGAAGAAGAGTAGGTGACAGGAATATGAAGAATTGTTGCTCCTGGCTGGAGACCAACACACACAGACACACACACACTCGCGTTGCTTTGAGTTTAGATTACTCCCATGTGTGGAGGAGATGGAGCGGAATTTGGTGGTGTCGAAAATATCACACTGCAGAGTATGTTTCATCACCACTTGCACCATCCCAACACACACTCGCACACACTCGCACGCACACACACCCTCCCCCCCCCTCCTTTGATCTCACTTCTCACTGATCTTCTCTCCTTCCATGTCAAATATTTAGGCTGCATTTGGCAGGTTTGACGAAAATTACCATGGAGAAATGATTTTATTTATTTAACTTCCACATCAGAAGTCAGTGTCAGTAGCTGTGAGAGGATGATCCCAAATTTCAACAAGAGGAGAGCGGCACTGATCCCCAAAAAACAGTGAATCTGCTGACTTTCCCATTTCAGACATTATTTTTAATGCAGGAAAACCACCATTGAATGATTTCTGAGGAAAGCACATCAGCGATTTGTTTGAAAATGAAATAAAAAAAAGTACGAAAAGTTGAGATGGTTTAAGAAGACACTTCACACACAGACACATTTACGGTGATGAGTCAACACTCTCGCCGCCTCCATCATTTGCTATCAAAGCGTCGAGATGATGTTTTATGGCTCTTTTTGGATAAATAAATGCGTTTTTTAATTAATTTCAGCTGTGCAGCCCTACAGGGAATCATATCTCCAGCTAAACCTGACTAGCATCGCACACAGAGAATGACGCACAATTGCAAATCTCTCCTTTTTACGCCCCTCTCTCTGTCACTATCACACTCACACACAAAGACCTGCATTCACTTACTCTGCATTTTTTAACCAACGATCTTGACATAAATCAGATGGAGCGCATCAGTGATGGGAGAGATGAGTTCA